CCCCAAAACCCCAAAACCCCAAAACCCCTTTCCGTTATGCCTAAATTGAGTTTTATATAAGCAAAAATCCTAAAATTTCCCTTAAATTACAACCCTAAAACTTAGTGAAGAACCAGAATGACTTGCCTATTTGTCCAGAACAGTATTGGTTTAGCTATTATGTTCACTTAACCAGAATTTAGAATTAAAAATAGCTAAAATTACCATAATATCTTAATAAATTATAGCCAGCCAAATCCAAAAATTTCAAGCAAGGAACACAAAACAAGATGTCAACGAAATCTTTATTTATCTATAAGTTTAGCCTATCCTTTAGCCAAGGTAAGGTTCCTAATTTTGATTTGTATTTTAAGCAGTGTGTTCGGATTGTTCCTCAATAGCTTTCAGTTCAGCATCTAAAATAATAGTTTGTATTTGAAAAATAACATAATTCATAAAAAGACATGAACTGGTGAAATTACCTAGGTCATTGACTTGAAGAGGCTCTGGCTCCTTGCCAGTTCACGAGCATTTAGCTTTAATTTGTAAAGCTAAAATCATTAGAAGGAGTCATACCTTTGACTAGAAGGTTTTGGTTCGCCTTTTCAAGAACCTCTAGACGGGAATTCATAATTTTCAGATTGCTCTTGAGAGCTGAATTTTCAGTAGTGACATGGTTATATTCACTAGCTTCAATGAAATTCTTCTTTTGTCTGTGAAAATATCTCTCTAGTTCTTCCTTTTGATCCTCAAGCTCTTGAATGACTACATCCTTCTCTAAAATAATGTTGAATGTTTCTTTCAATTTCAAACTCATCTCAGTTTGAATTTTTCAAAAATCCTCGCTCATCGTAGCTAACATCTCTTGAAGATCTTCAATCTCACTTGTGAAAGATTTCTTAATCGAGCATAACTCTTGCTCAAATGCTTTGTGCTACACGAATAACTACCAAAGACTTACCAATTCAGGCGTTAAAGCATCGATATCATTCTTCCCTTCATCTTTGCTAAACATTAACTAAATTATATACAAATTTTTAACTTTGAGGAACAGGGATAACTTCTGAACTTTAGAGTTCAGACTAGCATTCTCTGATACTAACTTGGTATTCTCTTTATGCAAGCTTTCGTACTCAGACTTCAGCTTGGCTAATTCTTCACTGTCTTCTACTGATCGAGAGGTATTGGAAGTAAGCTCTTCTAGATGAAGTATTAGGAAATCTAGGCGGTGGAAAACCTAAGACCAGTAGAGGGGTTTAAGCATGGGACTTGTGGAGGAGAGGTTGGGGTGGAGAGACGGGGGATTTGGAGCAAAAATATTGAGGAGGTATGGTAGGATTGGGGATTTCAGAAATCTTCAGAAATTTTTAGCGATAATAGGTTATAACATTACTAGAAATTATTTGGGTCATATTGTGCATAAAAAGAATGTTGAACGCTTCTGGATTTTTGGTTTTACGTTACCTTTTGAAGATAGTTTAGATACTTTCTTGATGCTGACAGGCATTTTTATAGTGTTGAGCTTTCTGTTCCTTCGAGCTTCCATTTGTCTGAGGTTGGGCGAAAAGCTGGCTAAGTTGTCAGAAAATTTACTTACTGAATCCCTTATTCCTCTTAGTTCTTTGTCCAGGAGACAATACACCAGTCCTGTTAGCTAGATATTTAAGAATAAAGAAAGGAGAGGGTGATTTACCTTGATTTGAACTCATTAAATTATTGTGAACTACCGTTTTAGGAATAATCATTCTCCGATTGGTGGGCTTCTTAAGAACGACCTGATTGTTTAGAGCAGTATTAGCATCAGTAGGGGGCAAAAGTGGGCTAGCTTCATCACTATTTTCGTAATGATTGATACTTTTCATTCTTTGGAATTTTGAAATCCACGAACCTGTTTCAGAAATTAAATTTTGTGCTGATACTTTGGAGACAGGCTTCGTTCTCGACGGGAGAGTGGGAGAGGATGGGATTTGAGTTCTGTCTTCAGAAAAGTTGTTGATATTTTTGTGGAGTTGATGTCTGAAATTGGTCTTAATGTTTTTCACTCCTAAATCCCGTGGTCTATTTCTTCTATACATGTTCATTTTACTTATATAAATTGTTCAATAATATAACCTAGTATTGGGGTTTTGGGGTTTTGGGGTTTTGGGGTTTTGGGG